TTCATTGTGGCTTCTTGTCTTCCCCCCCCCACCCCATCTGTGGTTCTGCCAGTTACCTTCAGGCATAATATTTGCATGTAAATTATTCAGTTATAGGAGGAAGGGAAAAAAATAACTGTTAGGATTTGTCTGTGGGGGTCTCTTCATCACAAATGCCACCGAAGTCCTGACGCCAAATGCCCGGTTCAGGAGGTTTGGGCAGGTCCCCAGCGTGGCGCCTCTCGGGTGGCCCCTCTGACCTGCTCTTTGGATGCCTTCAGCGGTGCTTGTCTTTCTTGCCTGATAAGGACTGGAGACTGATTCAGACAATCTAAATTCTGCCTTTGGCCTTCAATGTCTTAAAAAGAGGGTTTAATGAAGATATTAATATGGAGATACGATATTTTAATGTCCACATAACTCATAATGTTCCACAATGCAGATGCTGTATTAATAGGGTAGGGGATGGAACTTAGTAAAAATTTGATGTGATTTGCTCTTAATAAACTTTTAATACTTTTTTCTTCTTTTTTTTTTTTTTTTTTTCCTCAAACAGACTGTGTTTTAAAGATTACAGAATACCAAAGCAAGCAACTTTTAAGGGGAGCTCATCTTCTGGGGTTTGCATTGTCTGTGTTCACATAGTACATTTCTGCAAAGAAGAAAGTTTAATGCCTCTGTTTTGATTTGGCTACTTCAGTTGCCCCCATCGCTACCCCAGAGTTGAGATTTTGCCGGCAAGAACTGGCCATTGATATGGAAGTGGTCACTGATACGGTTCTGCAGTCTGTTTTATTTCTCTGTGGTCTTGGCAGTTGCAGAGACGTCTTGACAGCCATCTTTAAGAGTCCCTTGAAAATCAGTATTTTTAAAAATTACAGAATTGCCTTAAATTCTTCATAGTATCGACTGCGTGTGAGGATGTCTCTGCACATGGAAGTTACTTCAGATTAAGGAGAAATATATTTAAAATGACAATAATTATTTTAAAATAGCTTCATATGTGGACATATTTATTACAGAATAAATCTGCCTTATTCTTCTGCTTTAGCTTAATCCACTTGCAAAGTAGACAGGCTTATTTCTTCCAAATACATTGGGATGCAGGCAGAATCTTCAGCCTGGGAGAAGCCTCTCTCAGACTTTGGTGTGATAAAGCAGCACTTAAGGACTGCAGGCTGGTTTCTTCGAACACAAAGGGAAATTAACAGCTAGTGCTTGTTCAGGGGATTTCATTAGCACCAGGGCTGTACAGTTCTCATGTCCCACGGTGAGATCACTGGCATTATGCCTCTGTAATTTGAGATCAGTATCTACGTACTTACCAGGAGCAGAGGCAGAGAGAGAGCTGGGGTGTTTTAAATGAGGTGCAAGAAGCACCAGAGGGAACCTTCCCTGCGTGGCAAAGCCAGCCAGTCTCCACTGCCTCCAGTCTGGGGGGCTCCCAGCCTCCGGCCACATTCAGCTCAACCTCTCACACAAAATAAACCAGTATCTGCTGGAAAATCAGGCTGAGCCCAGGTCTGCTTTGAAAGTCTGATACTGGGTTTCATCGTGGAAGAGATGTTTTCACACTGAAAAGGTGGGTGTTTTGCAAGCTGTACCCGACAGTGGAGTTCTACTGGGAACAGGGCACCGATAGACTGCCTTTCACTGTAGTTGCCGATGTCTTACACACACAGCCTGGATTTGACCTTGTCTGCTTTCGTTGATCTAAGAACTAGCAGTGTCTCATTTTCATGGAGATTCATTTTACATTAAGGTATCTGTCTTCATGGAAACAGCACACCTTTTGTGCAGATTAAAATTAATTTAAGATTAATAAAATTAAAATTAATAATTGAGGGGGTTGTTTTGGGGTGTGTGTGGTTTTGTTTTTTTCAGTTTTTCTCTTTGTGTTTCCCATTTCGGATGAAGTGAGCCAATATACTGAGATGTGACATACAGTGTTGTGTCTATTCAAAACCATTTTCTGTGGAAGCTGTATACCATAGCTGTTGTAAATAAAACAGATACTGGCCATTTATCCATGTGTCTGCAGCCATCATTTCTCCCTCCCCGCGTGCTTTCTTAGGTCCTTGGAGCTGGCTGCTACAAACAGGCCTGTTCTAAAGCTCTCTGTAATATAGGATCTCACTGAATGCATCTCTGCAGTGGACTCTGTCTGTCTGTCATGCTTTTCATTGCAGGTTGGTAATGTACCTGACTTGAGTGGCTGTTGGGACCAAAAATTGTCCTTTTCTTTGCAGCCCTCATGGATACTTCAAAAGAAAATTACTTAGTGGACTTCAGCTCATGGTTTTGCCTTCTAGATGGCGTTTTGTTTACAAGTACATCTGCACTTGCCACACGCAGAATTCACACATGTAACTGTTGTGGCCAGAAATGGCCTTTCCTGCTTTAACACCAAGGCAATGCCAGTGCTCCTTGTGTGGATTTAAAGCTGTTCAACCCCTCAGGAGAGGCCTCAGAATGGGTTTCACAGCGTGGGCTCGGCTGGACGAAGGAGTATTTGCTTTGTAAGAGCTCCTTTTTCAGAGTCTTGAACTTTTTGAGCTAACAAACCTGAGCTGGGATGTAAGAACACTGGGTATTGGTGTGGTGAGGTTGTATGTAGCCTTTTTTCACACCGAAGTGCTAGAGTTACTTGTTGGTGAAACTACAGAAGCATCGCGGAGAACCCAGACCTGTGAATCTCTGCCAGAGATGGCTCTGAGAAGGCCCTTTTTGTGGACGTACGTGCTGTTTCCCTCCTCAGCATCCCATCAGTTCTGGGGCTGTTTTTGTTTCTTTTTCTTGTAGTTTCTGCCTTTGCCGTTTGTTTCAGATTTGTCTGCCATCTTGCAAAGAGTTTTGCCCACTTCCTGGTTAAGAGACCTGTCTCCTCTCAGCACGCCTTTTGTACAAGGCAACGCGTTCATGTTTTCATGTGTAAAATGCCACCCAAGTTGAACACTGGGCACATACTCCTCCCCCTTTTTAAGGACGCAAATCATTCAGACAGTGGTTTTCACTCCGTGGCTGAAAGGACTTGAGATTTTATGTCCCTGCCAAATTTCAAATGTATCCGGTCATGCTGAGGCACAAGGGCTGTTCACATAGAGGTGACAACAACTTGTGTCATACTAAGAACATTTATTTTTCGTCCTCTTTAAAATCTTTATCACCTGTCTGCAGTTTCAAAAACTGCAAAAACGTTTTTCTTTTCTTTTTTTTTTTTTCTGCTTCACTGACAGAGAACAGACCAGGAAAACATAATCTAAAAAGGCCAAGTCTGGTAAAGTAATAAACAGTTAAAAAAGACTACCTGGAGTGGAAAATTTTCCCAAGCATTTAATATCAGGTCTAGCTTTAATTTCTAGGCTTAACTATTGAAAAAAATGTGTGCATTTTACTTAGAGTTTGTTATGATAAATATTTGTGGTGGAAATTGCAAGACTGCTTTTGTAACTAACTTGAGCCCTTAGTGAAGTTTTATTTAGCTCAAATTATATGTATTAGGACACAACATGCATGGATATCACTGTAATAGGAATTAACTTTCAAACAATACTCACTCTGCATGGATGAGAAGAATCACATCATTACCTGAAGAGAACAGAAATTCCTGTGAATCATGCTGGAAAGAACTACGTATTTCAGAAAAGGTGAAATCTGGGTCCTTTTTGAAGTTGCTATGAAGAAAGCAAGTATCAGCACTAGTTCTGTGTTTCATAACCATATAAAATATGAGCTTGTGTTGTACAACAAAGCAATCCCCTAAAAACCTAGAAATCAAAATAGAAAGTCCTTTGATAGATGAAAGTCAGCATCTTTTTAAAATTCATTATCTATAACATTGCCTATGGACACTGCACCGTGGCAAAATGAAATGTTCAGCGCCGTTTTCCCTGTACAAATACCTAGCAGCTTCTTCTAAAAAGCAAACAGAAATTCACCTCAGTCGCCTGAAGACCACACGGTGCTTCACACAAAAGATTCGCCACCTCATCAAAAAATCATATGTGATATTTGACCTAACTCATGCCTCCCGCAAGCAGTTAAGTTAAAATGCCTTTGCTCTCCTTTGGTGGGAGGGCTCCCGCCATCTTGAAGGGGTGCATTGGGCAACCCGCGGCCAGCATGAGAGCTCACGGGTGGGATGGTGTCTGCCCCGCTGGGGCCATCCCAGCCACTTTTCAGCTCACTCGGTGGTCGAAGGGCTGCAGGAGGCGTGGGCCGTAGGTCTAAGCAGCCCCTAGCAGAGGGGGTTTGGGGAGTGTGCCCTACCTGCTGGGCTGTGTGTTGCTCTGGGTTGAGAAGCGCTTGTTGTGGTGGAGGCGGTATGGGGCCGGCCGCGGGCATCAGGGATGCTGGCTTCTGCGGGAGAGGGCTGGGGTGGGTGGGAAAAGCAGGTGGGGGTTTTCCTGCAAAAAATTGCCCCCTCCTTCCTTTGGGGGCCAGGACCCTGTGATTTGCAGCAAGGGAGTGCTCAGTTATGCAGGTAAATTAGGCCGACTGGCCCCTTCCCTTGGGATGCATCGTCTTTGACTGAGCTGTTTGCGGTTTCCCCCGTGTTACTGGTAGAGGCCTGTCCTTCGTCATTCAAGAAGTTTGCAGGATATTATGCTGCCGATTGGATTTTCTTCCCTGTATACATGAAGTAAACCATCCCTGAGCTGACTTGTAACAGCTGTCACCTTACTCTGTAACAAAGTTAAGGTGAAAATTTTAAAGGACAGATTACTGCAGGGTTACAAAATGCATGCAAATAGAAAGGAGAAACTTTCTGAACTGGGTGTTTGTCTTTTGTGTCATCAACTTCAGTCTTTCGTGAACTGTCAATACTGGAAAATTGTAATGCAGTAAATAATGGCGGATGCTCTGCAGTTTTTATTTCCACACAGAGTTTGCTTTTGAGATTGTTTACTGGCCCGGCTTGAGTGGTCTGTCAAGTGTATGCCTCTTTAAAATACATCTTAACTTCTTAATCGTGTTACTATTGGAAACTAACCTTCCATTATTTCTTTTTCTTCATATAGTTTTCCCAAAAAAAAGCTATAGTGACTGGAGGTGCTAAAGGAATTGGTTACCAAACTGTGAAGCATTTGGCACAACTTGGCATGCACGTTATAATAGGTAAAGTCATTATTTTCTTGATATATTTTTTGTTTCAGAAAGTATTTTTTTTTCTTTTAAGGAGTATTTTCTTTCCAGCATAAGTAAAGATATGGCAGGGGAAGGTGGGAGAGGGTTTTGCTAGCATTTAGCACAAATAAAGATTTGATTTGTTTTGCTTTGCAAGATCTTAAAGAAAAGTGGATGGGATTTTTTTATACAAAACTTGGAAGAGTTGGACTACCTTATATAAGAAGTAAACAATAAGGTCATGAAAAAGACTTAAAAATACGGGTATTACAAAAATATTTTATTATCTTGTTACTGAGGATGGACTATGCTTCAACGTTAGGGTGCGTGTGTTCATTAAGAAGAAAACTAATGAAAGCCTCGAAGGAATATTCCAGTGTGTAGTGGGGGATGATCCATGTTATAAGGACAGAGGAAGCCTTATAACTTCATCCATGTAAAAATTGCACATTTACTTCTCAGTTTGTCACTGTAGGTGGCCTTTGTAGGCAAGGCAAGGAAATAAATACCCTGAGAGATTCATTCGTGTCAGTCTGAGATGGGCTGGACAACTCACCTTCTGGAGGTGCCTGTTTCTCTCCATTGATAATAAAGAGTTTATAAGGTGACTGTATTAGTCTGAGACATCTGAAGTTAGGATAGGTGAATTTCTGTAAGAACTTTAACTAGATTTTTACCTAAAACACTGTAACTTTTACACCGTAAGGTCACTGAAGGTTGGTATTTCACAATACACTAGCAAGCTGGTGATATCATTTTATTTCGCTTTTATACAGAATGTGCTCTCTGTAAGTTTTGTATACCCATCTTTTGCAAAAAAACCCACAAAACAACAAAACACACCAAACAATAAACAAGAGCATGGTAGCCATGTATTTTTAGTCTAGTGCAGTCAGTAACACTAGTGGAGTCGCCCTGGAATCGTACAGGTGTAATGTGGAGTACCACTTACTCATATATGTTTTAACTGATGTGCCAAAACCAAGCATCTGCAAAAACGCAAACAGATGCTGCTATATGTAACTAGATGCTAGATGTAACTAATGAGCTAGATGTAGCTAATGATGCCAGCATTAATATTTCACTAAAGTCTCTTTTCATGTTTAAGGTGGACTGCAAAAATGTACTCAGTGGGAAAACAAAAAAGGCCAATTTTCTTCTCTTCTCATAGGGTCATGGAAGCATTGAACATTGCTACTTTTTTGAAGACTTATTTTATACCATTTAATGTTTAGGGTATTTCATGTAACAAAATTCAGTGTGAGATCTTTGGGAAAGGGAAGGTGTTATTTAATTACAAAATCTCTAAAGAAGCTGATTTTTTCAACGCACAATCACCCTTTCATAGATCTCATTCACTCACACTCACACCCATACTCTCACAAGCAGCAAGATGTGAGTGCTCAAATGGTCTGGTGAGCATCACTGGTGCAGTGTGGGAAAAGGTACGCCAGCTACTGAGTCCTTATCTTGTCTCTGTGGTTCACGGACCGATCTTTTATACCCTTTAGGAGTCATCAGCTCTTAGTACATTTTTCCTTGTCTGGAGTATATAGGCTATGTCTATAGCCTATCTTCTGTGTGGGCTAACAGGAAAAGTAATGGTAGGGGTAATATGCTGCCACCTGGACGTTATCCTCCTGGTGGCAGAGTGCATGGTAATCTGCTGGCAAGTCTTCTGTGCCATGGCCTTGACATAAACAACACAGGAACAGTGTCCTGGAAACATGTCCTTTGTTTTCAGTAAGGGGCATTCTTTTATCTCTCTGCTCTGCTGTTTTTTCTGGTGCTTACAGACACACACACACTCATTCACCCTTCAGTTGTACCAGCCTTAATATTTGCATTATGAATCTCTACAAATGTAAATTAATGAAATTAATTATAGGAAGCATTTGATGAGTAAGATTTTCAACTGATTCAATTCTTTCAGGCAAACTCTGACCTAAACACTGAGCCTGGTGAGTCACAGCCATCTTTGCCTGTGAAATTCTTCAGAGCGAAGAAGCCCTGTCAGTAGAATGGGTAGTCTCAGGCTTTGTTCCAGCTGCAAGATTAAAACAGTCTTGAAAGCACATTAAATGCAATGACCTTCCATCCTTGTTGCTAACTGTTGGCCCCAAGTGTCCAGAGTATGCTTAAAATACCTGCTGGCATATTGGCATGCGTTAGCACGTTCAGCTTCAGGCCACGCAAGCAAAGCTTTAAGCCTCAAATAAGACAGCAAGTGTGCTCAAGCTTTCTACTCTGGAAATATTTTCACCCTATGTTTGTATACAGGCATGAATTTACATGACAAAAGTGTGGATGTTGTTAGGTGAATTTGGGCTTGCAAGGGAGACTCGTGTAGCTCACAGATAATCTTGCCCATTCACTCAATGCTTCTTTCCCACCACAGGGACTAAGTAATGGGAATATTTAGCAATAAAGAATGATATCCCTGCAGCGGGCAAATGAGTCAAACCTGAATGTCTGATGTGAAGATGATTCACCATTTGTGGTGGATGTGATTTTGACTCCATTTGAGATTTTAGAGGGGTAAATGTTTGAAGTAACTTACTTTTAAATCCAATCTACCCGTGGAATGAGGAAAACAAATAAGTAGAAAGCATGTTACCTTGTGGAACATGAATAGTCAGCACATGAAAAGGCAGTGTGCTCCCTCAGAGCGTTTTCAGCGAGCGGTTGCACAGCGCTTTTACAGCTTCTTCCTTTCCAGTCTCAGCACTGGTGCACAAGACTCCTTTGTCCCACCGATGGTCTCCCTCTGCGGATGCTGCTAGCCCTGCCTCAGCCTCTCACTGAGAAAAAGGTTGGCATGAATGCTGGAATGATGCAAGTAATTTTCTACGGGTTTGTTTGATAGATTTCATTGAGATTTTTTGCCAAGCTGCAATAGCATTACTCACAGTGAGCAGGGCTTTTACTTCAGAAAAATCTCATGACGGACAGCTGAGACCCCTAAAAGTTACTGCCAGTAGTGAGTCTTCAGAGTCAAGCCACAGCAGGAGCTCCTGCTCCCTCCTACACAATTTAGTACTTGATAAATAAGCTTGCAATTTCGTTTTCAGAGAGAGAAGGTAAATGACACTCTGTTTTTGGGACCTACTGACCAGTGACTGATATTGAAGATGGTGTTTTGTGTGCACTTACAAATAAATATGCTCTTAACAATAAGGACATTGAAAATCAAGACATCTTGGTCATTTTTATGACCCTCCAGCTAGGTTCAGCTCTAGTTCACAGTGTTGGCCACAGTTCTGTGGGTCTGAATTTAGACTGACTAGAAGCGTAAACTCTTCATATTCCTTGACCCCTATATTCCATATGGGGTTTAATTTTAAGAGGATTCTGTGACTGCATGTTAAAATTGTTGGTTAATATGGTCCATAAACCCCATATTCCACTGGGGTTTAATTTTAAGAAGGTTCTGTGAGTGCATGTTAAAATTGTTGAAGAGAATTGAAAAGAGAGCTTCAGTTTGACTTTTCCTTTTTTTCTCAGTACCTTAATGAAAGAAGGCTGGAAAAAAAGTGTGATAATATTTAATATAGAAGCTTTGATAATCCTGTCTGTTAGTGGTGAATGAAAATCTCCAGCTTGACAATGTTATACGTATGCTGCTTGGTATAAAACAACAGGTTCAGGACAGTGTAATCAGACTTTGGTGTCTGAGTATATCAGTGTCAGAGTTTTCTAAGACAGGCTCACATTCTGAAGGAAACAGTCTCCTTATATTTATATGAATGTATATATATTCAAGTGACTTATTTGAGCCATGCAGTTTTGGCATAAATAAACGTAGTTCCATCACCAGACTCAGCACTTCTGTGTGACCTCTGTAAGCCCTGCAGGAGACCAAGCAAGAGAGATTTCTGTCATCTCTTTTATTCACATTAGTTTCCAATTTTCAAGATGGACTCTCCGCACTATAAATCAGACAATTCTTATATTGCATAATACTACAAAGTGACTTTAGAAGGATAATTAAACCCTATCAGGATGGTGCAATTGTTCATTTTCAAAGATGGTTTGATTTAATTTCTATTACTGAAAATTTATATGGGATACTTTAATAGTCTTTTCTCACTATACATAGACGTAGGAGATAAGCTTGAGTTATACGTTTTTCTATAAAACTATTTATCTTCCTAATTTTAGCCAGGTTTTGTTAGGCCTGAATGAGTTGTAGAGTTAGTCAGGAAGTGTCAAAATGTTACCAGCCTTTTAAAAGTGGGTGATGGTTTCCTTTTTCTGGTATGAACTGAGAAAATGCATGCGGATTGCCTTGTAATTGTCATTCAGTTCAGTTTTTAACATATCAGTACACTGTAATCAGGGTTATTGTCCTGGTTTCGGCTGGGATGGAGTTAATTTTTGCCCTAGTAGCTGGTACAGTGCTGTGTTCTGGATTTAGCATGAGAATAATGTGATAACACACCGATGTTTTAGTTGTTGCTAAGCAGTGCTTATACTAAGTCAAGGACTTTTCAGCTTCCCATACTCTGCAAGCGAGGAGGTGCAGAAGAGCTGGGAGGGAGCAGAGCCAGGACAGCTGACCCAAACTGGCCGAAGGGATATTCCGTATCACTCCATACCATATGACATCATGCTCAGTATATAAGCTTGGGGGGACTTGGCCGGAGGGCAGCGATCGCTGCTCGGGGACTGACTGGGCATCGGTCAGCGGGTGGTGAGCAGTTGCATCACTTGTTTTTCCTGGGTTTTGTTCCTCTCTCTCGCTTGTTGTTTTCCTTTTCATTACAATTTATTATTATTATTATATTTATTTCAATTATTAAACTGTTCTTATCTCAACCCACGAATTTTCTTACTTTTGCTCTTCCAATTCTCTCCCCCATCCCACCGGAGGGGGGAAGAGTGAGTGAGTGACTGTGTGGTACTTGGTCGCTGACTGGGGTTAAAGCACGACAGTTATTAAAAACTCCACCTGCAGTGCTCTCTGTTGTTTATACACTATGCGAGTGCAC